CAACAAATGACTCAGGTAGTTTTTTAAAAGATTCATTTTTTGGCTGGGCGTGGTGGTGTACTCCTTTAATCCCAGTACTCGAGAGGTAGAGGCAGGCGGATCTTTGTGAGTTCGAGGCCAGCCTGGTCTACATAGTGAGTTCTAGGACAGCTGGGGCTATAAGGAAACCTTGTCTCAAAAAGACAATAAACAAAAAACAAAAAAAGATTCATTTTTTTATTGTTTTATGTGTATGTATGTGTGCCTGAGTGCATGTATGTACACAACATTCATGTAGGTGCCCATGGAAGTAAAAAAAAGAGTGTGGATCCATTGGAGCTGGAGTGACAAGTAGTTGTGAACCCCTTGATGTGGGTGCTGGGAACCAAACCTGGGTCCCCTGCAACAACAGTAAGTGCTCTTAATAGCTGTGTCATTTCTCCAGCTCATATTCAAGTAATCTTTTTTTTTCTTTTTCCTTTTTGAGACAGGGTCTCCCTGTAGTCCCAGCTGGCCTGGAACTCACTATGTAAACAGGCTGGCCTTGAACTCAAAAAGATCCACCTGACTCTGCCTCCCTGGTATTGGCATTAAAAGGGTGTGCCACCACACCCTGCCTAGTGTGACTGATTTTTATGAAGCAGGCATTGCCATAATTCCCACATAGAAGAATACAGAACAGAAGCTTCTCCTATGTTCTCCCTTTTGTTACCCCCATAAAGCAACTACTATATGACTGTACAGTCATGAATGGGCCTTCTCCTTATACTCTACCATGTGGCTTTTACTTGACATTGTACTTGTGGGATCATCCATGTTTTTGAACGTAGCTCATTCTGGAAGTCTATTCCTTTGCTACTGCTGTATAATAATTCATTGTAGCAGTATTTTATAATTTCACATGCAGTTGATTTTTTGTGGGTAAAGGACAGTTTCCAGTTTGGATTTATTTACTGTTATACTATTATTATATCATTATACTGTTAGGCATTTATGAACACTCATGGATGCCTTTTGGGTATTTTTTCAGTATAAGATTACTAGGTATAGCCGGGTGTGGTGGTGCACGCCTTTAGTCCCAACACTTGGGAGGCAGAGGCAGGCCAGCCTGTGAGTTCAAGGCCAGCCTGGTCTACATAGTGAGTTCCAGGACAGCTGGAGCTACAAGAAGACCCTGTCTCAAAAAGACCAAAAAAA